CGCTATGCCCTAAACTCTGGCTGGACACGGATTCTGTTTGCCTTGTCTACCCCTGTATCCTTCGTGCCTGCACATTGTCTCATAATAGGTGCCCGATACCTATGAATTGAACAAATGATGAGTAGACAATATTCTGTGGCAAAATAAGCTATTTTTGTTACATGTATGTGGGGGTTACAGGGTAATATTCAACTTTGCGTTTGGGTTGGGCTTGCTTTTATTAGTTACTCAACTGTAGGTGAAGTAAAAATAGCTTAACATTTTTTGAACGCTTATCTTAGGAAGCATTCTGAGTGTTTTGAGTGTTTGTAAATACTAACTTATAAATCCCCACAAGAATCCTCTGAAGTGGTGACCGTTCTAGTGTGCAGGCAGGCAGGACGCGCATGAGCATGGATCCGAATCCCTTGAGGACCTGTTAAAACAAACTGCTGGGCTTTTATTTTAACTGCTTGAGGTTCTGATTCAGTGTGTCTGAGGTAAAAGCTGAGAATTTGCATTTCTAACAAGTTCCCAGGTGATGCCATGCAGTTAGTCTGTGGACTGGAGTTTGGGAACTTCTGTGTTAGAGGAACTTAAAGGCAGCCAATGTGTTGGAGTATGTGATCAAGACGGAGAGTGGTGTTGGTTTGAAAGCCTGTGTGAACCTTGTGCCCGACATACAGGCACCTGGCCAAGTGGAAAGCGGTAGCTGAGATATTCCTCCTGATCTACTGCCAAGCCCCATGCCCTGGCTTAGGCCTGCAGTGATTCTGAAAGGCATCTTTTTCTAATATGCACAAAGGCACCTTTTAAGCTAGAGGAACAATGGGTCTGAGGCCTCAGATCATGTGGGACCTTGCAGGCCAGGGGCAAGGGTCTGCGCTGGAGGGTTTTAAGCAAAAAGTGACATGATCCCATTTAAGTCTAAAAGAGATTCCTTTGATGAATGGATAAACAGTATGTAGTGTACTTCAAAATGTTTGTGGAAAAATAGAATTAAAATATGATCCATCATCCCTGGAGTTGTTAAAAAAAGATAAATAATGCAAATCTTTCCGTCAACTTTTTGAAGTCTCCTTGTACATATAATGGAATATTATTCAGCCTTAAAAAGAAAGGAAATTCTGATACATGCCACAACATGGATGGACCTTGAGGACATCATGCTAAACGAGATAAACCAGTACAAAAGGACGAATATTGTATGATTCCACTTATATGAGGTACTAGAGGAGTCAAATTCATGAAGACTATAAGTAGAATGATGGTTGTTAGGGCCTTGGAAGGAGGGAGTAATGGGAAGTTACTGTTTAATAGGTACAGAGTTTCAGTTTAGGAAGATGAAAAAGTTCTGGAGATGGATGGTGGCAATAGTTGCACAACTATGTGAATGTGCTTAATGCCACTGAACTGTACATTCAAAACTGGTTAAGATGGTAAATTTTATGCTATGTATGTTTTACCACAATAATAATAATAATTAAAGATCCCTCTGGCTGCTGTGTGGAGCAGGGACTGGGGTGCAGGGATGGGAGGAGGCCAGAGAGGAAGCAGGACAATGAGAGAGGGGTCATGGGGACTTAGACCAGGTGTAAGTGGAGGGGAGAGCAGTGGACAAATTCTGACTCTTTTTTGAAGGCAGAGCCAAAAGAACCTGCTGATTGAGTGGATGTGGTGGGTAACAGAGAAGGAGAATCAAGGGCCACCCTTCCGTTTTTGCCCTGAACATTGGGTGTATAATGGACTCATTTCCTAAATTGGTGGACTTGTGGGAAAAAGCAAGTTTCTTTGTGGGGAGGAGGAGGGAGTGAAAAATTCTCTACTGCCCACCTTAGGTTTGAGATGCCTATTAAAAAATCTGAGTGGAGATGTCAAGTAAGCCATTGGATATAAGTAGGAACAACACGAGCACGTTCTAGGCGCAGAAAAGAGGCTTGTAGGACTGAAGCAAAGGGAGGCGAGAGGAAGCAGATAGGTCGGTCAGGGCAAGGAGGTTAGTCTCGAAGTTCTGAGTCAGCCACTAACCGCTTGTGACACCTATGGGAAAGTTATTGTTTGGTAAGGACAAGAACAACTTCCACTTAATGAGTGCTTGGTATGTGCCAGCCTGTCATCCTTTTATAGTATGGAGTCTTCACATCAATACAGGAGGTGGACGAGGGGAGGAAGGTATTCTCATATCCTGCCTTTACAGAGGAGGAAACACGCTGTGGGCTGGGATAGGACTAGCTCTAGTCCACTTGGCTTGTATGAGCCATAAACCACTCCTGGAACCGTCCAGATACAGAGCTTCACCGACCTCTTAAGATTTCTTCCCGCTCTAAAATCCCAATACATTTCTCCCCATTTCGGACATGCAGAAACAGAGGCCCTGGGATGGGGCAGTAGCCTGTGCAATAGCGGCACACTGAGGACGCGTGTCAGGCAATACTCTCCCCCAATTCACAGGAGGGAGAATTGAGGCCAGAGGACGGTGTCCGGTCCAGGTTCACACAGGCATAGCCGAACCGGAGCCCGCAGGTCGGCCCCTTCCGAGCCACTGTTCACCCCAGAAAGAGCGGGCCTCCCGGTCACCTCTCGATTCCTGGCATCAACCTTGGCTTTTCAGTTCTGCTTGGTGCGGAGGGACAACAAAAAATGTGACCAGTTGTCAAGGAGACGTACCCAGCACTTCTGATTGGCGAACTCTGGCCCGGCCCCCGCTTCCTTCTCCTTGCCTGCCGCCTCCTCCAGTCCCCGAGACTCCATCTCCCCAATGATCGGCAGGGCCTAGTCCAGTCTCCACGACAACGCCGCCATAGCTCCTCCTCCCCCCTCCTCCCCCTCGGTACTTCTGTGCATGTCCGAGGGCTGCGCGCAGTCCAACTGAAAGCCTCCGCATTTACCCTGGAAAATGTAGTCCGAAGCCTGGCGGGCTCAAAATTGTCGCACCGTTTGCGCCGATGAGGGCCAATAGGCTGTAAGCTGTGCTTTGATGCCCCTTGGGAAATGTAGTTCTGAAGCTGGCGGAGACTCCCCCCCCATGAGGGAACGGACGGGCGTGCGCAAGTCGCCACGGCGAGGGCCAATGGGAAGCTACCTTTGCCGCAGTGCTTTTTGTGAAATGTAGTTCCGGGCGATGCCGGCGGAGGAGGGGGAGTTGTTGGGCGTGACCGGCTACTGCGGGTGTTGGGGCTGGGGGAGGGGGTACGGGAGAGTTTGGCGCAAAGCCTGACGGGGCATGGAGTCCCGATGATCTTTGTGCGCATGTGCGGGAAGGTAAGGGGGCTTGGGGGGCCTCGCCTGGGAGAGTGAGGTGAGCGAGGGGGGAAAGAGGGAGGGATTGGAGTGGGGGCTGTTGGATGAGCAAGGGACGAGCTATGGGGAGAGGGGAGCAGGGGACCGGTGGAGAGAGGGATGAGAGA